AAAATGCAGAATTATGAATCGGCATGTTTTACATGTGCGGGAGGTCTTGTAAGCAACATGGAACATGTTTCCACACAGAGGCACAAAAAGTAGTGCGAGAGGATGTCCATTTATCTGTCTGTCTGTCTGTCTGTCTGTCTGTATGTACCTGTCGAGCCTTGGAGGAACCTGTTGGTCAGCCTTCGCCCGTTCCGATCTGATCCGAGGCGATCCCTCTGCGCCGCCGTTTGGCCACCCGTCAAATTCTGAATTAAATGTTGTGAAATTGTACACTTCACAGCGGACAAAGTTCGGCTCGCTCGAGAAAGGAACTATCATTCTACATAATTATCATCTGCTTTGGGGGTTTGTTGTCCGTGTTGTCTTTTGTTTTTTTGTCTTTTGTTTTGTTTCGTTTTGTTTTGTTATTTCTGCTGCAATTACTACCCAGGCAGCTCTCATTGTGTGGTCTCGATCGATCGCTGTCCCCTGTCCCCTGTCTGTGCCCCAAAACTGTAGCTGCAAGTGGCGGAAGCGATTGCAACTCCATTGCTGCCTTCGATTAATGGCTGCGCAGTCGCCATCAAAACTTAGAGTGCTTCCCTGGTCCTGTGTCCTGTATCCCCTGACGAACACCTCTGGAATCTGTCATTCGACACTTTCGACACTGCGGTCAAGCCCAATCAAATGGAGGCGCCACCAGCTCTGTCTCTGTATTTAGCCCCCGACTCCCGACTATCAACTCCGACATCGACATCGCATTACTTCCACACCAAATAGCTGAGCTCTGGTGCTGCTGAGACCTCCTTCACTCTGCCAGTCTGAGCCTATGAAAAGTAATAACTGTGGGAACTGGCAACTTGATGTCGGTAATGCCTGCTCATCATCGGCATCGGCATCGGCATCAGCAACGACGACTCCTTCTCGCTTCATTGCCGTTTTATTGGTTGGAAATAAGTTAATAACATGGATGACGCCGACAGAAGGTAGACTGCGATATCCTTTCTGCTGCTGCTTCTGCTTCTGCTTGCTGCTTGCTGCTCGCTGCTTTGGTTTAACAATGCAACAATATTGCTTCTCAACAGTTCTCGCAGCTCTTCTACAGTTCTACAGCTCGAAGGGAAGACCATTTTCAGCAGCTAAGCCAAACAGGCAAAGTAAATCATCATAACCACCTACCTTCCACGGCTTCAGCTTCAGTTCTAGCTGGAGCTTCAGTTGCCACTTTTGCTTCTGCTTCATCTTCAACTGGATCTTGATGCGCACCTTTAGCTCCTTTTTCCCCAAATGGGCTGGGCTGTGGCGGTGCCTGGTTTCCGATGATAGAGCAGCGCCAAACTTCTACCACAGCCGCCGCCGCCGCCGTTGCCGTGGCCGTCGCCGTCGCTTCAGGGCGATTCTGGGTCCGCGGACGCCACAGACGCCGACACCGCCGATAATAATGAAGGTGTTGGCGATGATGATGCTGATGACGCGAATGAACCGAAGCCCAACCGTAGCTCCTATTGCTCCTCCCCCGGGTCCTGCATTGGAGCCTGCTTCCTTCTGCTGCTGTTAAAAATCAGGCTGAGGCGCCCACCAAATACGCTGCCACAAAGGCACGAGTCCAAATGCAGAATTGTGTAGGGGAAATATTTATTTCAGTGTAGGGCATTTGTTGGGGCTGTGCGGCTGGCGCCGGATCACGATGCGCCGCTAAATGGGATCAGTTTTGGTAACGAGTTAACGAGTTGATTTCACTCCAGCGATTGCCTGGCAGGGCCTCAAAACTCGAACCGGATTATCAGTTTGTTGTGTGCATCGTATACCCCTATCCATCCTCCAGCCTCCATTCCCATCATTGTCTGCCACAGCCTCAGTCTCTGTCTCTGTCTGTGCGGTGGCCATGGCCAATGTCTACACAACAAGGTGACGGCTTATAATGACGGACCATGGCCAAGAACGTGAGCATGGGCTGTGCTGGCTGTGCGGTACTGTGCTGCAAGGGCCGAAGATCGAGCATCGAGGATCGACGATCGAATCGAATCGAGCTGAAGCCAAAGCCAAAGCCAAAGCTGAAGCTGAGGCGTTTGCACCTCCCATGCCAGCTACAGCTGCATCTTCAGCGCCCTTTTGTGGCTGTTTCTTTGATGGTCGCTCCGTTTTTGGGGATTCTGTTGCTGTCGTTGTTGTTGTTGTTGTTGTTTTGTCGAGGGGCGTTACCCAGTGATCATCACGCGTTTGCGCTCTCCTCTGTCTCATCTTAATGGGTGTTATTTTGTTTGGCAGTAAATATTTCTGCAATGGGCGCTAATTAAGTTTGGCTCTTTCGGTGCTCCGATCCGCAGCATCCTTCGCACTTTGTTATGTGTGAAACTTTTAAATTTCGTTCGGTCGGTCGGCAAACATGAAAACCAACACGAACCGAAGTCCTCCGGTGAGCTCCTCCTCCCCTCTGTAACGTTGTTCCTTCCCCCACCATCGCCGAAGTAACCCGGCAGCCAGACAGAATCAATATTGGTGAGCTATTAATCTGGCGCTGTAGCTGGGCAAAAGTGGCAAATTGCTCATCCGCCATGCGGTCCGCGGCCATCAATGAACTCTATGTGGCAGTGGCAGTGGCAGTGGCAGTGGCAGCAGAGAGTTAACAAAATCCAAACATCACACTGACACTGCAACAAATTTCATTGGGCGTAAAATATTTGTATTTTTTGTTTTTTGTTGCTGCTTTTTATGACTCACTTTCAGCGCTTGCCGTGGGGCGAAGTAGAGTCAGAGTCAGAGTCAGAGCCAGAGTCGGAGGCTGCGGCTGCGACTGCGACTGCGGTTAAGGCGGAGAGCAGCATTTTAGTTGCTGTTTCAAATCGATTGGACAATAAATTAGCATTATGCGATTACAGGCCAAAGTCTGACGGCACGAACACTCGCACTCCAGCTCATCCAGCTCTGAGCTGGCAGCTCGCGGCGGGTTCAAAGTTCCCTACCACAAGCAGCCGGCGGAGGTGGAGGACTGCGAACCTCTTACGTAAGGGGAAATGACTGTCGCATTCCCAGCTCCTAGCGGAAGTGTGGCAGAGTCAGCACATGACAAGTTCGGGCCACAGAGTGTGCAAAGATCTTTGAACTGAATTGAATGGTGTACCAAAATATTGCTCATACGCCACCTCAGCCGTCATACCTCCACAACCATTGGGCCTGGCTCGTGCACACTAGCTACAGCAGCAAAGATAACGATTAGAATAACAAAGATATTACGGCAATAGTCACACACTGGAGGAACCCAGATTGGAAGTCGTCAATTGGACAGATCAACATGATAAGCGGAAGATCTACACTAATGGGAATCCGTGCCAGGCCAGGCCAGGCCATGTTGTCTACACAATAACTTATAAATAGATTGGCTCAATCATGACATTTTGGCCAAACGTCCAACCCCTTGATGGACTGACTGACTGTCTTGTCTCGTCTGCCCCGTCACTTTCCATGTGCCTGGTGGGAATCGCTCGGATAATGAGCGGCGATGTCTCCGTCTCCGTCTCCGTCACCGTCACCAACACCGACACCTTCGCACTCTTTGCCCATGAGTAATGATGAGTGCTCAATAACTATTCGATTGATCATGTTTTTGGCACGCGGTGAAATTTAGATCAGCCGCAAAATGCCAACTCCTCCTCTGCTGCCCCCCAAAGCCCTTCCGTTTCTGTTGCTGTTGCTGTTGCTGGGGCGGGCAGCCGCATTCTGAGCCAGGGGCAGAGCCAGAGGCAGAGGCAGCGGCGGGGGTATAGTTAGAGGTAGCGTGAAAAAAATTCATGAATGAATTCAAGTTGATTGTATCGGCGAGCGTGAGAGCGAGCGGGCGGGCTGCCTACCAGTCGTGTCGTCACTGAAACACCACGACAGACGCCGCCGCCGCCGCCGCCGCGTATGAGTAATATTTCTTGTGAAATAACCAAACGGAAATAACTGAAATTCATGACAGCCGACTCGCTTCGTGTATGTGTGTGTGTGTGTGTGTGTGTGTGTGTGTGTGTGTGTGTGTGTGTGTGGGGGTGCAAAAACTTCGGAAGTGAGACGAACTGAGAATGTGCCCGATTATTGTTATTGCTTCCCTTTCCTATTGTCCACTAGTGAAAGTCATGCAGCCGGCAAATATTTTTGTTTATCTGAGAGCTGAGAGCTGAGAGCAGAGAGTGGAACGGCGCTCTCTGAGAAGGAGGGTTCTTTATCAACAGCTGATTCAAGACAGCTGCCGATCGATCACACGAATATGTGTCATCGTGAGCACTCGTATCGAGTGGGAGAGAGGAGCCCTCCCCATTGCGCTTCGTATTGAAATTGAATTGGGCAAAACTTCCCAGGCGTAGGCTGTGTCCTGTGTCCCAGCTGCTGCCGCTTCCTTGCGTTTTTGTTTGGACACTCAGAAGTTGCTTTTGAGCGCTTTTATTTTTCGCACAGACTGCACACTCATAGCTAACGTTGGCTCACTCATACACAGAGAGGTAGAGAGAGAGAGAGAGAGAGAGTGAGAGAGCGACTCGGAGTTGGACTGAGTTCTGGAGCCAGCCAGAGCGGTGGGGCCACTCTCCGCCTCCTCATTAGTATGCTCATAGTAACTGAAGAGTTCAGTTCGCAAACACAACTCTCCGTCTCCGTCTCCGTCTCCGTCTCTCCGACTCAGCCGTCTCGGTTTCGGTCTCAGGCGAAAACACAACACTGACGACGACGACGAGAAAGCCACTCTCGGCACTGGCATCGGCATCGGCATCGAGCCATCGACTTCGACATCGAGCCATCGGGGCAGTTCGATCGGATCGCCGGGGAATCAAATCAAATCAAAGCAGGCAGTCAAAGGCAACGCGTCGACACTTGGCGTGCCATCCACTCGAAGAGTATCTCTTAGAAACAGATACAGATCATCGGAAATTCGATTCTGTTTTGCCCGCGTGCCGAGTTCTCACTGACCACCACCAACTCTCCTCACCTCTCGAATTATAAGCTGCAGTTAGTTTTTGTTTTTTTTTTTCGTTTGTATTATTCTGTTCTGTGTGGACTTCTCGAACTTTCGCCAAAACAAATCAAAACTCTACCGAAAAGTGCCAAAAGATTCAGCTAGAGACACTTCCGCAGAATCTCCTCCACACATACAAAATTTATGTGTAAATGGTGAGTACTCCAACTAATTCTGTGGCTTATGTTGACTTCTGTTATGCGGAAGAAATTGCTGAAGGAAAACAAAGTTATGATCGTGCAGGTCGAAGAGAGCGGAACCGCTCTGGTGCGTGCCTCGCCTTCTGATAAGTGGAGGCGGACGTGGACGAGCAGGTGCATGCAGATGCATAAGGCAAACCAATCAATGGTCAGGCGATTGCTTAGCACTCTGCTGTGCTGTAATACAGAAACAAAGTGGTGAAATGACGGAAACAGCGAGGGGGTCAGCGAATATCGCCTTAGCTGAATGTCCGCTCATCGCGTATTACATTAAAGAGACAAACGGACACACAACAAACACATTTGGGAATGAAAATCCTTATCAAATGTGTGTTTGAATTGTAAACGCTTTTCCATCGGCAATCAGACAACAAAAAACTCACAAAAGAAATCACAAAAGAGGCGAAACATGTGAAATTAATTTACACGTTTACGTTCAGGGCAGGGCAGGGCAGGGCAGGGCAGGGCAGGGACTGTGGACTTGGCTTGGTGGGTGGGTGAGTTTTTGGTAGTTTGCTGGCGATGCGTCAGTGTGCGACGACGACGAGAAGGGATGGCACGGGACGGAACGGGACGGGACAGCCACGAGTATTTCACAAAATGCTGCAAAAGAAAGCAAAGTTCGCTGACCATGTAGCGTAGTGTAGATACAGACGGACGGACAGAAAGACAGACAAACAGTCGCTGTGTTATGAGTGTGCATATTTGGCTGAATGTCTGTACGAGTGTACGAGCGTGTGCCGACTGGGCCTACCCCACCACCGGCAATGATTCAGCCAGAAAAATGCCAAATAAAGAAATTGTTGTTTTTATTTTTAATAATTATGTCAGCCTGATAAAGAAAGCAATACACACACACACACACACACACACACACATGTACAGGGCAATAGCTGAAACCAGCAATAATAAGTATTAACAAAGGCAAAAAGGCACGCTTCGGGCCCCCCAAACAATTGCGATTGTGTCTACCAGGGACTCCCCCGAAGTAACTCTCTCTCTCTCTCTCTCTCTAACTCTTTCTTATCTCATCCATTTATATTATCCGCTCCTCTCTTTGACCAACAGAGTACAGCTGCCTGCCCGCTCGACCTCAGCAGCAGCAGCAGCGACAACCGAAAGAGCAAAACGGCAAACACGCGGGAAAGAGTATCAACGCTCGGGGCCAGCAGAAGTCGTCTCCAAAGAATCGGCTCGCTGCTGACGCTCGCCGTTCTCATGTGCCAGCTACAGCAGTTCGCCCACCCCGGCGGCGGCGGCGGGGCCATCGAAGCCGCCCCAACACCCACGCAATCATCACGCCTCCAGAAGCGACACAATGCGGGAAACTTTCGGCAGCGCTTCCAGAGGGAACTCAACGGCAGCATCGCCCGTTTGGACTGGGAAAATACGTGCGGCGGCAACTGGACGGGACCCGAGGACAGGGTGCGTTCAACAAAACGCTGCAAAAAGCGCCAATTGGTAAGTTCAAGATCACAATGTGTCCTGCAGGTTGCATCGAAAATCGAATTTACAACTAAATTCGAAGTAATTAAAGTATTTACCTAGCTTTGTGCTCCCATCTAATCATGATATCTCTGACCCTGTTTCAGGTTATCCATGCGCTACAGAACAACACCAGAAGCGAGCTGCGTAGCCTGCGGGCAGAGAACAAGGACACGGCCATCACCAAGGCCATCGACATCTCGCAGCAGCGGAAGTGGGCGCTGCACAGTGGAACCTACAAGTTTTTGCCAAGCCTCAATGCGAGCAGTAGCCAGGTAAGCTCTCACCATAATCCATCAACTGTTGCCAGGGCAGAGAATGGGGAGAAGAAATGGTCAGTCACGTGAGCGGCGGCCCTTTCCCCGGCCTCGAGGCGGCACTTCCCGTGCGTAGGTGCAAAAAACAGATCGTCACAAGTTCGAGCGCGCTGCCTCGATCATATGAGCATTATGAGGGGGAATCGTGCGAAAGCTTTGACTGAACGGGCGAGGGCTTCTCCAGCAGTTCGCTGTACCCCACAGATTATTCACTTTTAGAACTCAGAGTGCCTTCTTTTTGACTGATTTTGATACACCTGCTTTTCGGCCACACGTCGCACGCCTCACGTCAGCATTAGGCCACGACTCGGCACGGCCCATTAGCTCCAGATTTGCATTGGCAAATAACAACAGCACGACACTGATCAACGGTACACAATGATCAGCAAAAATAAAGCAAAACAAACCCACATTAAGATTAAGAGCAAAATTAACGAAGTGTGCTCGATTTCGGCGATTGTTTAGATGGTTGCATAAACAAATCGGTCCTGTATGTGTGTACATCCAATTCGACCTTGATGAAGCGATCGCTCCTCACGTTTTATTAGAGCTCCCGTACCGGGAGTGGAGCTTCAACTGAGGCTGCGAGGCTACGAGGCTGCGAGGCTGCGACTGGGGATGGATCTCATTGCGAAGCGACTAATTGTTTGCATAAACACAAAACCGAACAAAGCCGAAAATTTTATTTACACTTTTGATAAGTCAACAACAAACTGAAGCGAAGAAATTGTAAAAGCCGCTGTACACAGAGTGGAAATGTACAACATTCAGTTAGTTCCTTCATTTATGTAACATTTCTGAGATGAGCACCAAATTAAGAGACATTTTCGAGAATTATTTGCTTGAGTCTTGTGTCTTTAAGGGCATGAAAAATCTAGGATCCAAAATGAATTCAAGTGAGATTGCTTCTCGGTTGCTGGGCTACGGATTAAAGTGCTAATTTTGAGGTGCAAGACAGATGTATCTGCAGAGAACCAGATAAGCGCGGTTCTCTCTGGTAGATCCATTACGATTTTCCGGTGAGACACCGGCACTTAAACTTTGTCTCTGGGTGTGTGTGGCCAGACTGTAGTTTCGACCCATGTTAAGTAAGCGAAAAAGCTCCATGTGAGCCATTTCAGGGTACAAAATAAAAGAAAAAACGACTCATCCCAAAGTTCAGGTCTAAACTTAGCCGACAGCCTCACTTTGGTCATTCATTGATTCATCTACTCATTCATTAATTTTTAGCTATGAGCAGGCAGGGTTTGGCTTTCGCTGAAATTTCTCAATTGTCGTCACAGAGTGGGAAAAATACCACAAATCTGTGCGACTTCACCCAACTTGGGTAAATAATTAGCCAGAAATCATCTACAATTGGCAATTGGGAGCTACCTACGTCAATGACGGAGTGGCCGCCCGATTGTGCCGACTAATTGTTGACAGTGGCGGCGGAGGCGGCGGAGGCGGCGGAGGCGGCGGCGTCGGCAACCCCGCCAAAGCCAAAGCCAAAGCCCTGGCAAAGCCGAACACGAGAACACGAAGCCGAAACCAATCCAAACGGAACGGAAACCGAAACGATGACGAAGGTGTCAAGACTGATTGCAGAACTCTATTTATAGGCACCCTGCCCCAGTCCCAGTCCCATGCCCATTCCCATGCCCATTCCCATGCACTGCTGGGGAAATACTCGCACACTCGCACTCGTAAAATGAGCATGAGTGTGTTTTGATACTTGTATGTAAATATTACCAAGGAACGAACGACCGACCGACAGGCCTTTTGACGTCACTAAATAGCGCGCGCGCGACTCACAGATTGTATGTATGAATGTACATTCGCACATATTCAACTGATAGCAGAGCATGATCCAGAGAGGGGAACGCCAAAGCAGGGACGGGGTGGGATGGAGAACAGAGCTAACGATGATATGTTTGAGCATTTTTCTGTAAATGACACACTCACACAGGCGCAGGCACTGGCACCGGCACCGGCACAGGCAGCGTGTGAGTAAGATGAAGCGGAGGGGCGGGAGAGCAACACCGAACGGTTGTGATTCATTCCAGCGAAGGCCAGTCGTGTGGATTCCCCGAAACGCGAGCGCGCGAGCACATGAATGAAACGAGCGAGATGGACGCCACTCATTCGAGCCGACGGCGAATAACAGTTAGACGGCAGCGCTGCCTGAGAGCGCAGCTCAGTGTGGAGAGTGGAGAGCGGAGAGCGCTTTTCACTTTCAGCTGATTAAAAGATATGAGCGCTACCGCTACCTGCGCGAACGGACCGTCATTAGCGACGAGTTCAATCAACCCCGAGCTTTTATCAGGGTTTCCTATGGGCTGTGGTGCTAAATGATAGAGATAATTTACATAGCCTATAAGTACTATAAGATATGTTCCTACACACACTAACCTCCCCCCTCCTTTCATTTGTTCTATTAAAGCTTAACCTGCGCCACGTGCATCGGGACCTGCAGTTCTACGTGGGGGCCTTCAGCTACCTGCGCCATGCCCAGCTGCACTGGGACTACTCCAACACACAGACCGAGAGCGCGATGTCCGCAGAGCTGGGACGCCTGCGCAAGAGCGCCCGTCACGTACTGTGCAGTGTGGAGGTGGCCATAAACGCCACCAACCGGCTGTATGCCGGCATTGGCCAGAAGAACGGTCGCCGGACCGTGCCCCTCCTACGCAGGAAGATCTTGAGCCGAGAGCTCATGGAGAAACGCCTGCAGCAGTTCAAGACGCCGCTTGTCCAGCTGCACCACGAGGCGACACTCTCAGCCCGCGGCTTGCCCGCCGAACAGCCCACACAGTCCGTGCAGCTGGCCGTGGACGCGCGCTTTGTCAAGTTCGAGTACGTGCAGTACCTGAACAGTGCCTGGAAGATCCTCGCCAGGCAGCGCAAGCAGCTCTGCCGCAATCAGAGCCAGAGGCAAGGCAACGCCCTCAAACAGAGGCAGCCAAGCCAGGTTCGCGACAGGACACAATCGAATTAAGGACCACAAGAAGGAGAGACAAGAGCAACAAGAGAAACCTCCGCTCCATAACGAGGCTCATTCCACCACCCCCAAGACATTGATATTTATTAACCATTCGCTATTTATTAAATCAAAGTCACGAATCACCAGTCACGAATCACAAGCGATCCAGTCGCAGGATGAAAACACACAAAAGTCCCCCCCGATCAAAACAAGAGACACCTCCTCTACCACCTAAGATATATATAATTTATTTTATTTCTAGATATAGAAAAGGCGTGTATTTCCTTCTTTTTTTTTTGAATAGATCTAAGCCTCATTGTATTATTTATTATGACAACTCGCCAAGATCTGCCGCACATTGTGCTAGATCCTAAGATCACTTTTTATCGATTACCAACCGTTTCCTTGTATTACGATGCTGTGATAATATATGATAAAGCTCCATTCCAATGCAATATAGCCCCGAATCCATGCACGAAACCATAACCTGCGAGTATTTATGTATGTACATCAATCAAAGCTATGAAATCCAACGAAATTTTGTATATGCTTCCAAACTCCCCAAAAACAACCCCTGCCAAGCCAAACTAATGTATAGATTAAATATCACACAACTTTATAGGATAGGATTTTTTTATGAATCATATTCAAATACAAACCAATTGAAAGTACAAAATATCGAGATGGTTTTCCTTCACAGTATTCCTTCCCTCTATGCACGTCGCCCTGTGTGGCACCCCCCCCATCCTTCCAGCTAATTCTCTGGCGCCATATCAATTACAGCGCACACAAAGCAGAGGAATCCGTATGCCAGACAGACAGCACAGTACATATGTATCTGCTCTGTGTTCGCCGTGGAGCTACTTGGAACACGGACTCTTTCCCGCTCTCTGTTTTCTATCGGTCTCAGCGAAAGAGAGACATTAAAGTGTCCAAACAATTTCCTTTTACGATCATCTTCACTTGCAGTCGTCGCACTCACAGCCGAGGAAGCGAATATCGCAGCTTTTATAGACTTGTTCAAATATTTTATGAGACATATAATAATTCTTCGGTGTGGGTCATCCTACCTCACCTTTGCCTTTGCCTTTGCCTTGGCTGCAGCAACAGCCACAACTACAGACAAAAAGAGCATCAACCGCACAAAAAACCATTTTACGACAAGACATTTTTGTCGCTGCTCTTGATCCCTCACTCCTCACCAGTCCCTGTCCCTGCTCCTATTCTCATTCCCATTCCCATTCCCATTCTCCATCTCCATCTCCATTTAAAGATCCAGTCCTTATCGCCTGGCAGGGATCTTCTTGCGCACCTTCACTCAACTCTCGGCTCTCAGCTCTCTGTATATGATGTTTCCCTCCTCCTCCTCGCTCCTCCTTCTGCTGCTGCTGCTGCTGCTGCTGCTGCTGCTGGGTCGCGATTTCCCCGAGTACCCGAATCGGGCTTATCGCACACAATCAGCAATTGTCATTAATTTCGGACTCTGTGTACGTGCTCCGATTTGTCTGCTCAGCGCTTATTTTCCGTGTTCTTCCCCAGTGACTGATTCAACAATTTAATACGCCACAGATAGAGAGACAGAGAGAGAGAGAGAGAGAGAGAGAGAGAGATCATTCTTAGCCTGGGCCCCCATTAAAGATGGTTATCACCTTGATTTTATTGTGTCCTCTCCCTGCTGCAGCCTCTCTTTCTCTCTGATCTCAGCACTGATATTGGCCAGGTCCGAGGCGCACATGAAACTATGCGCGCCACCATTCATGGGACACACCATCCTTCTCCCTCGCTCCTGCTGTACTTTGCATGCAGCCAACGTGCACTTTGTAGCCCCTTCTCGTTCGCTGCCTTGTGGCAACCCTTCCGTCTGCTGGCTGCCCAATTCAGGTGCACGTACAGCCCATCTATCTTGAGTTTTGATAGGTTTTTATTGGCCTGACCTTTATTAAATTGAAAATTATGTCTTTCTATGAGAAATGTTGATATTTCTTCTCCCCTCTCCGCCCTGCACTGCTAACCCTTCGCTAACCCACTAATCCGGTCATATTCGAGCGGGGCTTAATTGGACTTTTCATTCAACAATTTCTGATGTCAGGAAACAAATAGTATTGTTAACCGCATTGATACGCACTTATGACAGTTGGAATCATTGCTTCAATTATTAGTTTTTCTAGAGATACAATTTGGATATCTGATACTCCCATGTATGATACCCTGCTGGGTATCCCATAAGTCGATGCTGTTCGTGCTGCTCAGACTCAGACTCTGCCCCACCTGGCTCCTGCTGAATGAACTTTTGCGCCTGCCTCCGATCTAATCTAAATGTTTATTTTGTTTTTGTTTGTTGTGTGGAATACACTCGTACCCTCTGCTCGTGGTGTGGCCGGTCGGTCACGTGCATCCCGAGTCTGTCCCCAAAGAACTATTTTTCGGTTCTCTGCTCTGCTCTGCTCGTTCCCGGTCCCGCTCCAACTCGCCGACAATTAATTTAAAATATCTTATTTCATTTATGTTTTCTCGTTGTTGTTGTTTTCCCTTTTGCTCTGAATGAAAAAAAACATTCGTTTTTGTTACATTTAACTTGTATTTGTCGTGTGTATTTTTGAGTTATGTTTTCCGCTGCAGATTTCCTTAGATAATGGCGTTACATTTATGTTCCCTAAGTGTACCCAAAAAATAAAACCAAATAACTGCCCAGCCCCCCAAGGAGGTGTTTCGTATGATTCCCCAGCATCCGCATCAGCAGTCTCATCGTCGCGATTGCAAAACGATTTTTTTGTTCAGTTTTGTCTCCGATTCTGTTTGGTTTTTGGAGCTGGCCGGACCCATGACCATTTCTTTCCGATTCTCCCACGGAGCCGAAACTGCTGGCTCAGCTATGTATCTGCAAAATCTGCTTATGGGAATCGGCAGCCCAAAGGGGGGGTGGCTGGCTCCACTTAGGTGTTAAAATCGTTCTCGCTTCTTGCCCAAGCCTCAAGTCTCAGCAGTTTCTCCTCTCCGTTCACGGAATCAAGCACTCTATGTGCTGTCTGCAGCTGCTCACTGTCAATCCCCCACCTCTCTCTTATCTCCGCGCTCAGGGAACAAATATAATAATAATTGTTGGGATGCAAAATCCGAGGTTGGTCTCGATCTCCCTCACTCTTGCTTGCTGACGACAGCGAAACTGAATGGTGAGATGCAATTTCTAGGGAAATTCAAAACCAAAAAGAATATTTACCCCTTACCCCACAAAATCCTTTCCACAACCCCCCATATCATGAGATTAATACACTCCAATAGATCCAGCTAACAGTTGGAATGATTTCTGAAAGTCTTTGCCTCCGATTTGGATCCATTCATTGAACAGACTAGCCAGCCAGGACCCGTCGGAGCGGCGCCTTGACCCAAATAAATTACGCTCACTTAACAATGAGCCGCCTGCCTTTGTGTGGGATTTTGGCGTTTTACAGACATTTGGCAGAGTTTTCCGCTTAATAAGGTCAAAAGGTGTTTTCAATTGCGAAATGGGAACCAATTGTACGAGCGGGGGAAAAGGCAAAGGTAAAACTGCAGAAGAGACAAACCCAGCACAAAAAGTGACACAAATTATGAAATAGTCCCTCCGCAGCTAGATCAAAGGTGACGCGACGCGCCCACTTTACAATTCCCAACAAATAGGGAACGGCAATTGCATTTGATTCGGGAGAACAAGAGGTAGCATGCGAGTGTATTGGGATGCCATTTGGTTTATGGGATGTCCATGAAGTGGTTGTGGAGAGGGGCAGCTGGCCAGGACAATGAAGTGATCAGCGGCCGGACAATGGAGAAGTTTTTAATTGTCAATGAATTCTGTTGCAACGGCCACTCTTGACCTTCTTCCCCTCCTCCAGCTGCTGTGCGAAAAAGGTGGACACCACCCAGGTGAGAAGTCCAAATGAATCAAACAATACGAGCATCTCGTCCAATTCGGACGCGGCTTCTGGCTTCCAGTGTGCACGACAATGGAATCCTTATAATTAATGGCCAGCTTGGCGCCAGACTTTTGGGACCTACAGACTGCAGATTCAGGAGGCAGGAACAAGAGATCCTCTCTGCCAGAACAAGCAAGAGAAACTTTGCATCTGATGCAGCGATAGAGAGATAGAGAGAGAGAGAGAGAGAGCATTGCTGGAAAATTGGTGAACGTGTGCCTGCTATGTACACATATCCTTAGCCCATATCAGGGCCCAGGATCGGGAAGGCAAACACACCAGAACGAGGCAAAGGGAGAAGCGAGCAAGTCAATCAGTCAAACATGAAAGCAATCACTCAATGAGCACACACACGTCGCAGCAGGGCTGGGGGATGTGATTCTCCTCACAAGTGGCCCGGACAAATATTTGAGCGAAACCCCTTTAGGTCCCAATAGGGAAAGGTCTACGAGGACCCTCAAGAGCCCGAACTTCACACAGGAGTGTGATGGACAAATATTTGAATATGGACTTTTCGCGTGTGATTATTTGTCCACCCAAGAGCGCTCCTTATCGATCAGAATGGAACCACCATTCGAAGCCGATCCGAACAATGGAATGGCGACTGTGTTGTGGTATGTACATATATTCTGTAAACTGATATTGTCTCAGTATCATCTTCAGAGTGCCAGTGCCAGTGCCAGTTACCAGAGTCCGAGTCTGGTGTCTGTAATCCGTGGCAGTTCATTAAACTTCATGTTGACTCGACTCGACTCGACTCGACTCGAATTAATTGGTTGCCCATTATGGGCCTGGCACTGGAGTATGGAGTATGGAGTATGGAGTATGGAGTATGGAGTATGGAGCAGGAGATTGAGTTGGCCCTGGACGTGGACTGCAGCTGCACCTGATCGAGGAAACAGCTCTCCTCTGGCAATATTTGATTAACAAATCCTGACGTCTGGCTAAGGCCAGAGCTGGCCAGGGATGGCATGGCCAAGAGTGGCTGACGGACGGCACACAGACTAATTGTTGCTGACTAATATGACAAGGTTCTCATTCAATTAAAATATCCATATCTAGTGCAATTAGATGGCTGGACAAAAGTCCACATTGCGGCGACTCATTAAACTTGCACGAATTATTGCACGCACTTTGTCATACATTTTAATTTCACTTTGCAGCAGCAGCAGCAGAAGCAGCAGCAGCAGCAGTAGCTCCGTCTTTGTGGCAAAGATCCTCAAGATCACGATTCAGTCTGAGCCTGAAATGGGGCTGCTCTGTAGCTGTTGCTGCAGCTGTAGCTACAACTAAATCGCAGCCTTACTGCTGGAAGAGATCTGTGCTATGTGCGCTCCACACACATTAGCAATTACGCTCATTACACTTAATTACAGAAAACTAGGAGTGCATGAAGATTTCCAGATGCGGACGGACAACTCGGACGACTCCACTCCGAATACGAATACGAATGCGAACCTGAACCTGAAGCTGAGAGACAGAGTCTCACTGCCCAAAAGAGACTTGGAAGCGGACCTGCCTCTGTGCCTGTGCCTGTGCCTGTGCCTCTGCCTCTGCCTGTGTCTGGGCCCCTGTCTGGACCTCCGTCTGCGTCTGTTGTCTTCATACACCAGAGAGC